TACTGTTGAGATCCACCCAGCTGCGTGAGTGACAGTTGTGCCGGACCCCTCCCCCATTTGTTCCTCCATTTAGAGCTGGAGGATCAGAGAGGGGAGGGGGGAATCCCTGCGGTGGGCGGTGACTGACAGTCACAGCTCTCTGCAGGGAGACGATCGGGAAGTGATCGGATCGGCTGCATGTTTCTGCTCACTTCCTGATCAATAGAGCCTATCTGTGACAGCTTCTTTGTTCTTCTTTCGTCTTCTTTTCTCAGGTCGGCTCTAATTATGAGGAAGAGTGAAAATCACTCACCTCATAGTTCTCCTTTAAAGTGACACTAAACTCAGGAGATAAATCCTAAAAATACATTCAAGTACCTTAACTATTAACAAAAATGTATCTTATTTGTGTATCACTAGGCTGTAGATCCTCAAATCATCTCTGAATTGGACCTGACACTGTCCTTCCTTTTGGAGTGGGGGTACTTTTGTTCTCCATGGTCCCTGTGTGTGTTGTAAAGTAGACACCGCTCAAAATTTGCTCCCGTGATGGTCTCCAATCTCAATACAAATTAGTAAACTTAATGTGAGATTGTAGTCCATCACAGCTGAGTGATACACAAATATGATACATTTTTGTTAATAGTTAAAGTGGTATTAAATCCTTTTTTTTCAAATAGTGATCATATAGGTCAAAACTTACCTGTGTCTCCGCTGCTCGATCCTGGCTGTAGAATCCAGCTTCCCAAGCGGCCGTTCAGGAGGATGTGTGCGGGCGCATAAGCAGTGGGGATCACCAGTGGGGAGAGGAGAGCTACAGTGTGAGTCAATGCACACAGCCATGAGCGTGCACGCTGGACAGACTCTGTGGTACAGGAAAAAAGAGGAGTCTGCGCTGGATCAGAAACTGGCACCAGCGCTGGAGGGACTGCTGAAAATGACTGGAAAGAAGAAGATGTTCGGATCAGGAGGAACCACTTAAAGTAAATTTAAATTCTTTTTTTTTTTTGGCATATAACCACTGCTAGTAAACAGTAGATATATGCCCTAACATAAAAAAAAGTTGGAAAATACCAACAAACTTGTGTCAATGCCGCTCGCACCCAGCTGCACAAGACTGAACACGGTGAAGGAGGAAGTGTGGGTGGGCACATGCGCAGTCCGGATCATCGGAGGGGAGAGAAGGAGAGCGGCACAGAAACTAAAACTACGCAGCCGGGAGCGCGCGCATCTGCCAGACATAGTTACATAGTTATATAGTATTTGAGGTTGAATAAAGACATTAGTCCATCAAGTCCAACCTATTAGGATCTCATTCTAGGAGTACCTGTACCCCTGTATATTACCTGTACCCCTGTATATTACGGTCCCTTAAGAAATCATCCAAAAGTTTCTTGAACAATTCCACATTATTTGCTGAAATCACCGCCTGTGGCAGTGAGTTCCAGACCCTAACTGATCTTACTGTGAAGAACCCCCTTCGCCCCTTGTGCTGGAATTTTTTTTCCACCAATTTTATGTGGTGGCCTCTAGTTTTTGTAACGGAGTTAATTTTAAACAGTTTATCGCCAATGTTGCTACCACCATTGAACATTTTGTACATGGAAATCATATCCCCCCTTAATCTCCTCACCTCTAATGTGAACATGTTTAAATTTAGTAGCCTTGTCTCGTAGCTCTGGTCCTCCATACCCCTAATTAGTTTGGTTGCCCTCCACTGGACTTTTTCCAACTCAAGGACATCTTTTCTTAGTACTGGTGACCAGAACTGGGCCGCGTACTCCAGATTAGGTCTGAGGTCCAGACACTGTGGGACGTGAGTAGTCTGCACTGAATCAGAGACCAGCACCAGCGCTAGAAGGACTGTGGAAAACGAGTGGAAGGAAGAAGCTGTTCAGATCATCAGATCCCTGAACATGTCTGCATTCAGGGATGGTCTGAGGACCTATTGGCGTCAGCCATTAACTTGTATTAAAAGTACACGTCGCACACACTGTGTGCATGCAATGTATAGCTCAGCCACTAGGAATCACCAGATTCCTGCTGGCAGTTGCCCCAGGCTGCATGTATGGATGGGGCAGAAGGAACACAGCATGTCTGTTCTACTCAGTAAGAAACAACACTACATTCACTCCTAGAGAACAGCACACAAACCTGTAGTACACTGTTAGCTGCAGTTCCTGGTTCCTAGGATTCAGTGTGCATCTCATTAGGATGAAACTGGCTCCATGGAAGTTGTGTGCACCACATTAGACACAGCAACAGTGACTGGCATCCTCTGAAGCCCAGGGGACAGTCTAAGACAGTCAGTGGGTCTTGTGGTAGACAGGGCACCTTCAGACAGGAAGTCTACCTGCTGAAATGCACTTGAATAAAAATTTGGCACACAGTGGGAAGGGGAGGGGAAGAAAATGGAAGAAGAAAATGCATAGGAGGCAGAAGCATAAATCTGAACTCCAGATACAAAGAGGAGAATGTATCAAAATGGGAGCAGACAGAATCCGGAGCAGTTGCCCATAGCAATCAACTTCTATTTTCTATTTTCAAAATTTAACTGAAGAATCTGAAGCGGTTGGATGCCATGGGAAACTCCACTTTTGATATATCCCCTCACCCAAAGACTTTCATTTAAATATATATAAACATCTTTCTGAGCCTTTTTAAACCCAAATATTACCTTGTGACATCATCATTTTATTGTACTATACAGAGTGCAGAGCTGTGGGAGGGAGCAGCAGTGACCGGTCTTTATTACATGAAGCTCCAAGTTTCGCACTGGATTACTACAAAGATCTGGAAGAAATACACAAAGCTCACCAAGATCCAACTAAGGATACACATGGATCTTGTATTCAGACAGTTATCGCTTATCCCGGAGGTCAGTTATAGGAGACAGAATCAGGTCAGGCTGGAATGTCATTTTTGTGTGCTATATGTCAATGTTTTTGTCTGCAATGAATCATAAGTGGAACATCTGTCTCCTCTATAATTGTATCACTCTCTAACGTAATTCACTTTTAAAACTTTTCAAAATAGCAACAAGACAGATGAGTTTGACCTCCACTTCAATTTCTGAAAAACACAAATGGATACATAGGAAAAGGGAAGAAGAGGAGATTGTCTCATTGAAACCACAAAATGTCATATCTGCAAAACAATCAATCCCATTTCGCTCCGCAGGAAAAAAAAACAAAACGGAATGATTTTCTGATACATGGGGACACATACATTCCTTATTTATTCACAAAATATACAGAATATCAGCATTCTACCATTTACCCTCGGGCTCAGGTCACACTTTGAGCTGTGAAAACGTACGCGAACATGCATTTGTGTGTGTCCGAGTGCGTTTTTGCCATGGTTGCCGCGCCTCAGCCCATTTAATCTGAGAGCTGCCACATCCGCAACAAACGTGGCAGTCACGGCATCCTTTAAAATCTCAAGGAGCCCCAAATATAAAAACTGTACATGTAAAAAATGGCGTAGTTCCCCTCCCTACGCTAAAATCAATACCAAACCCTTATCCTAGACGGGGTCTGGCATCGATTTTAAGGGGGGACTTAAAAATGATGTAGAGTTTCCCCTTTCACAGTCTCCCCAATTTCACATTAGAGTTCCCCCCTTTCATTTCACATCATAGACCCCCCTTTCATTTCACATCAGGGTCTCCCTGATTTCACATGCAGTCCCCCCATTTTACATTAGAGTCCCCCCCTTTCACATCAGAGTCCCCCCATTTCACCTCAGGGTCCCCCCATTTCACCTCAGGGTCCCCCCATTTCA